CTTTCTTTCTTTCTTTCTTTCTTTCTTTCTTTCTTTCTTTCTTTCTTCTTCTATCTATGTCCCTCTTGGCTTCTAGGTGCTCACTAAGAAAGAATTTTTCAAAATGACTATCAGAGCATTAGAATTTCATATATTATTAACACGCTCTGATAATCTGGCAAACACTAAATGTCTCTGCTGAGCTACCAGCTGACCGTCTTGTGTTGCCTAAACTGTAAAGCCAAGGCATCATGCTTGTGTTGTGTTTAGAATTAATGGGATTTGGGATAGTTAGGATTGAGAGCTGTTCCCTTAAGGGAATACATCATGGTAAATGTAGTTAAGGTATCCTGGGAAATGTAGTCCATGTTATGTGGTCACATCTGTAATCCTGATTGGTCCATAAATTGACCCTTGTTGGGTTGGGGGAGGCTCCCTCACTCTTGCCTGAAGCCATTACAATGCGGCTGCTTCAATCATCATGTGGCTGAGACCTTATTATCTTTCTACGCCACAATTCAGATATGCTAAGGACTGGACATTAAGAAGAACCTTGTCATAAATGTGAGTTGATAGGATGCCTGATGAACCAATTAAAAAAGACTTTCTATGGATGTTTTGTGGAATTTATCTATCTGCCTTTGCACAGTATTTGTACAGGACAGGCAGAATCATGCTGTCACTACTTGAACTTGTGCAATACAATTTGATCAGGGAATTGCGCAGCAACTGTCCGAATGAAGTCAGAGACACTGACTTCAAACTTGTAATTTTTGTATAAATAAATGCATTTAACGTTTATATTCACAGCAGATGAGATAGCCAGGGACTTCGTGAGGTAAATCAAACGACTCATGGAAGAAAAAGGTGGGAAAAAAGGGAAATGCCCCCTTTCTACCCACAGCAGCCAATCACAGCACAGATTGCCTCGTGCACGAGCCAGTCCGTCATACAACTGCAATGTTCTGGACCGTTGCAGGCTTTACTGTTCCAGCTGCTAAATTTAATATCCTAATATATTTCTTTTCCCACTCTTCCAAACCTGCTACGTGCATCTGATTCTAAGATGAAAGAGCAATAGCAATAGCACTTAGACTTATATTACCGCTTCACAGTGCTTCACAGCCCTCTCTAAGCGGTTTTACAGAGTCAGCCTATTGCTCCCAACTATCTGGGTCCTCATTTTACCCACCTCAGAAGGATGGAAGGCTGAGTCAACCTTGAGCCTGGTAGGATTCATTCTGCTAAATTGCAGTCAGCAGAAGCAGCCTGCAGTACTGCACTCTACCCACTGCGCTACCTCAGCAGTTTGCAATGTCAGCACATTGCCAACAATCTGGGTCCTCATTTTACCGACCTCAGATGGAAGGCTGAGTCAACCTTGAGCTGGTCAGGATCAAACACCGTATTGAGTGAATATGGCTTCCCCATTGACTTTGCTTGTCAGAAGGTCGCAAAAGACAATCAACTGACTCCGGAACTCTGCAACTGTCATAAATATGAACCAGTCGTCAAGCATCTGAATGTAAATCACGTGACGATAGGGATGTTGCAATGGTCATAAGTTTGAAAAAAAATCATCAGAAGTCACTTTTTCCACTGCCATTGTAACTTCGAACAGTCACTATATGAACTGTTGTAAGTCGAGGGCTACCTGCACTCTTGTTGATTGGCCCCTTCCCTTTTAGCTGCCTTCAACTGCTATGTCCTCTGTGGTTTCTCACACTTACCTTTTTCACTTTCACCGTTAGTCACACCTGCCTAATTCTGTTTGCTCACCTACCTGCCTTTTACCGAGTCTTCAAAGTTTACTTTTTACAACTTAATAAGATATGGTGCCATTACCTGGGCAGGTATCCTATCGAAATGAAATGTGAAATTCCTCCTCTTCTTTCTCTTCCTGCTCCTTCTTCATCCAATGCAGGTAGTTCTCGATTTACAACCGTTCCATTTAGTGACCCTTCAGAGTTACAGCAGCACTGAAAAATCCGACAGTTTTTCAGGGTTACCACCTTTGTAGCCTCCCCGTGATCATGTGATCAAAATTCAGATGCTTGGCAATTGCTTCATACTTATGACCATTGCTATGTACCGAGGTCACACGACCCCCTTTTGCAATCTTCGGACAAGCAAAGTCAATGGGGAAGCCCGATTCACTTAACCCTCGGGGGTTTCTAACTTATCAACCACAGTGAATTCACTTAACAACGGTTGGCAAGAAAAGGTTGCAAAACGGGGCAAAGCCTCCCTTGACAAACGCCTCACAGCAATAATTTTGGGCTTCAATTTGGGGTCGTTAAGCCGAGGACTGGCTACCTGTACATATTTCGTGAGCCTCGGGGCACACTTGTTGCAAAACCAGGAAACATGTCATTTATTCTGTATAGTTATTGACACTTTTACCTCAGTCGCGTAACCGCCTTTCGCCTCCGCGGGGCCAAGGCGAAAAGAGGGATGGGGGGGGGAAAAGAGAGAGAAAGGGGCGGGGCTAGTGCCTCATCCGAGGGGGCGTGGCCTGGCAGAACGCCAGAAGCGGGAGGTTGCTTAGCAGAAAGCAGGCGCGCGCGCTTGTGTGTGTGTGTACGTGCGCGCGCAGCCAACCGTCTCTTGGCGCTCGCTCCGGCTTTTTTTTTTTCCTTCTTTCCCCTCTCAGGGGAGGGAGGGGGGCGTGTAGGGGGCCGGGGTCTGACCGGGGAGGGTCGTCCTTCCCTAACCTCCAAATTGGGGGCAGGCGAAGGGAGGAAAGTGAGGGGCTTTGACTGTCCCGCCTTTCTGAGAGGCCCTTTGGAGGGGCGCCTCTTGTGGAAAGAAACCATGGGGAGGAAGGGCGGGGGCGGGTGGGTGGACGCTCGCGTTTCGTAGCTGTGGGGGTTTTATGGAGTGAGGGGGAGAAGAAGGTAGGTGAACTTTAGCTTAGGGGTGTGCGAGTGAGGTGGGGGGGGGGGGGCGTCCGGGTGCATGAGAAGGAGTCCCGCCTGCCTTGGAGGAGCTGCTCAAGAGGGTCAGTTTTCTCGGAGATCCCCCCGCCCAGAACTACTCCTGAAGTGAAAAAGGCCACCTCTTCATTTCCTCATCCTAATTTTCGGGGAAAAAAGGAAGAAAAAAAAGATCGGAAGCTTGGATTGGTGTCGGTATTCCTTCAGCCCAGGACTGGGGTGGCTCTGTGCAATAAAAAGAACTCTGTGTGGCAGGAAGGCTGTTTGAATGGGAAAGGAAGGTTACATGGATTCATATTACAAAAAAAAAAATTTTTTTCCCCTGAGCCTTCCTTGTGGGAAGAAGCTAGCCTTTCCCTTTTCCCCGTGAACGGATTAGGTAACAACAACAACAAAAAAAGCGCTCTTGGGGAACATTGAATGAAGGAGGTTTTTTTTTTTTTGCTCCTCCGATTTGAGGCACCCTCCTACTTGGACGTGAAAAAACGGGAGAGGAGACCGACCTTCAGGACGCCTTCCAAAATGCTGCCTCTTAAGGCTTAGTCTGCAAAAAAAAAAAGAGAGAGAGAGAGAGAGACTCCCAGGCTCTCCTTTGCAGCAGAGAAGTGATTTCAGGTGCTCTGTTGGGAGGAAATAGGGTTTCCCCCCCTTCATTGCCGACAAGTTCTTTTCTAGGTGGCATCCGGGATATAAAATGGACTAGAGGCCTAACCTTTGGAATAAAATCTGACATAAAAGGGGTTGACACCCTGCCCATCTTTGGATTGCTTCCTTGTGCCCTGGCTGCTGCTTTCATGTCTTCTGAGATGTCGGAGCTCAGGCGGCGAGGAGCCGCCGGTGGAGAAGCTGGTGGAGATCATGAAAGAGAAAGTGCGGGTGACAAGGTAAGCCTGAATGAGTCTCCTGTGTCTTCTTCCTGATTCCAGGTATGCAGCCGAAAGAGCATCTTGTGGGTTTCTCATCTTGGCTTCACAGCCTTTCTTCCTTGACATGTAATGTGGCTTCCCTTCATTTTTGAAAGAGGAGGGACCCATGCATGTTTCTTCACCATCTCCTCTTTTACAGCGTCACTTTTCAAGATATGCTTGAGTAATGTATGTAGGGGTGGTGTTTGTTTCCATGTCTTCCCTCTAAGGAAGTTCTCTCCCCCCCCACCCCCCAACCGACCTTCTGCATGTGATGAAATTTACAGAAGTTGAATGTCGGATCACAGCTGAGTGGCTATTTTTCATTTCCTTTGTTATCACTCTACTATAAAATGGGAACCGAGTAAGCTATACAAATGTGGCAGTTCTGCGGTAAGAGGCCATTTCCACTCTACCTGCAGTCTGTGTTCCATGTAGGAGGCTGCTCATATATCGCTCCTCCCCCATATTCAAGGTATTTGCTGGCTTATAGGATGTAAACAGCTTATTAATTTATGGACTTTGTGTAACCGAAAGAAGTAAAAACATAGAGGCTGCATTTTCTGCCCTTTATAAGTATACACATATTCAGCACTCGGTTCAAAGTCTAACATGACTGGAAACACAGCATTTTAGGAGCCTTAAAGTGATGACAACCTTTTGCGTTGAATTTTGTGATTAAGGATGGATTGTAATCACCATTTAACAATTTTTGTTCTGGGTTTCTAAGTATTATAATAAAGCAGCTTATGTCTAAAGCCTATGCAAAAACGGCTGTATTCATCACAAACTTTGATTTTGTGACCACAGCCCACAAAAATTTCATATTTACAATACAGGCAGGTTTTTTTTTAATCTTTTTAAGCAGTTAGAGAAGAACAATATATATTTGGATGACAAATACACAAAGACAGTCAAAACTACTCATAAGGGTTCAGAAATGAGTAGATTTTCTAGATTTGTGGGTATATTGCAAATCACTTTCTCAGAGAGGCCTCCAAGCATAGTCCCCCCATCATGTTTTCATTATATTGTCCTTGGTAATGACATTCAAAGTCCATTATATCTTGATGAAAGCATTCACCTTACTCCTCTGAATAAGCACCCCTGTTCTCCTTGAATTTGTCAATTTGTCAAGATAAGCATCAAGGATATGAATCTTGAAGGACATTCTGTATCCCATTTTGGCATACTACTTTATGAGAGTCTGAACCAGCTACTCATAGTTTTAAGCCTTGTGATTACCCAGAAAACCATGAACCATTACAATGGAACAGTTCCAAGCCTCTTTCTCCATCCTGTTCAGTTTCTTGGCGAATTCATTACACTCTTATCTTCTTTATCTGTGGTCCAACAAAGATACCAGTTTTAACTTTTGCCTCTGACAGCTGTGGAAAGAGAACTTGAAGGTACTTGAAAGCTTTGATGAAGCCTAACTTGATGCACAGTGGTAGCATCCGCATCTTCCGGGGTTCTACCAGTGGCTGCCACTTTATGTTGTTGTTTTCTACGGAGAACTCAGTCTGCTGTGGCCAGTCCCTTCTGTGATACTACACCTTAGTGTTCCAGCTGATGCAGAGGCAAAGAAAACAAGAAAAGTTTGTGAAAGTTGCCTTGGAGTCCCATCAGGAATGACACTATTTTGAAGTCTCCAATGATCTCCCAGCCATAATGGTCATACTTCAAGGCAGTCAGCAACAACTTGACACTGGTGTGGTCTTCCTTGAGATGCACAGAGTGAGCCATAGGGAGAGATGGGTTCTTTTTCTCATTATGAAGCAACAAGATGTTGAGGCTCCTGGATAAATATGGCGGCATTCACTTGGGTTGCAGGTGATTCCTGTAGCCTCAAATAGACTGGCCACATTGTTTCAGAAGTACAGCCCACCTTGCTGACTGAAGAAATTGGAAAAACACTTTTTCTCATCTGTGACTTGCACGCACACTTTCATGCAACAAGTTCCACTCTTTGAGCCTAAATGTCAGAAACTCAGCATGGGACTTGGTAAGATCAAGGTCTCTGATCAGATCTTTGAGGTCTTTCTGGTTGGGTAAGTATGGCTTTCTCTCCTCGGCCATATCTGTGAAATTGTAATCTATATCTGCAATATCTTACTCACTGTGTGACTTGCTTCTCACTCTTGAAGATGACAGATCCCTCTCCGGAGGGATGGGAATGGGGAACTCAGGGCAGTGTGGTACAGGAGTGATGGATGAAGGAATGCCTGCATACACGATATGAGGGGCGCTCTTGCCATTTCGATGTTTGGAAGGATTCACTATGCAGAAATAGCAGTTACTTGAATGGTCAGTTGGTTTCCACCAAATTCTTGGAATAGCAAACATGGTTTTCTTTCTTCCCCTGTATCGGCCTGCAACAGCAGAATTATGTAAAAAAAAATTAAAAAGATATTTCACACATTGCCTAATTTTGTGCAAGATATTGTTTTAGGCCGTAAAATATATATTGTCTATTTTCCTAAAAGATTGAAAATAGTGAAAATTTTCTTAATTGCAACTCTTTTAAACTAATAATTCACTGAAATTCTATCTAGTGAGCAGCAATTATTCACCTTACCTTCAAGAGTTTAGTTGCAGTGTTCGCATGTGGGCTTGTCTTGATTCCCCAACAAGCATTCCAAAGTATGGTTTGTAGGCCTGGCACATCTTAACACACACTTTTACAGAGTACTTTATCACTCTTCTCTTGATAAATTGTCCACACACGTAGCAAGCTGCATCTGCTGGGTGCAAACAACCTCTTGATGCCATCTAAATTAAATATTACTATTTACTGTTCTCTTATTTAGCAATTAGACAAACTAAAATGTTGGTTTAAGGCACCTGTACTTTTATACTTCTATGGATGCTGTTGGATAGTCCCAGAAAATGCTTGAAAATTACAAGATTTCAGAAAGTTCTAGGAAAGGTAAAAGAGTCCAGAAAGTTCTAGAAAATTCTGGCCACTTCTAGAAACTTTTTGACAATTTTCATAGTTACAGAATATTCTGGAAGTCCACTAGGCATTGAATATAAATTGAGAATGCTCACAAAAAGAGATAAATTTCAAAATATTGTTCTGACCACAGAAGCAAAGTTTTTGTGGAACAGTAGTTATTTTGTATTTATTTTAGGCATAAGGAATCAGGAAAAAAACACTTTGTACCCAGGAACAAAAACTAAATTGAAATTTGTTATGCAGTGATATTTGAATAAACATGTTTTTTAAAAAGAGCACCAGACACTTTCACAATTATGTATAGTTCTGTTCCCTTAAAATAAAATAAAATAAAACTAGCATTATAAAAAATAAACTGCATCATTTAATTATAACAGTAAGTTTAACTATGTTTAAGTAGTATATATACCCTAACAAATTGCAGCATTCTTCTAATAGGGATTAGGCATGAATATAGATGAATCATTCTTTGACAATTTTATTACTACAAGGTATAAAAAGTAATGGAGAATGAGAGATCCTATGCTACTTTTTAATATGAACTAGACTAGAATCTATAAATATATTATTTTGAGGTAAGATGTGGACTCCATATGCAATACTGTTTCTTATCAACTAACTTAACTAAGCAACTGAGCATAGTTAAGCCTTTGAATTGTTTCACCTCTGGTTGCAAGTAAAATGCAAATACTTCAGATTCATAAGAGTTACGTACCTCTACAGCCATTGAATTGTCGCTAGTATTATTTTGTACATTATCACTAGGGAGTGGATAACTTTGTTGCCATGTCACTACTATTGTCCCATAATTAAATCTAACATAAATGGTTTTGCACCTTTTTATTACATTCTGTTTTAGTGGTCTATTGTCTAGGTTATGATATAAATGTTTTAGATATATTTTAAATTGCTGCCTACAGAATTATAACTCTGAAGTGCTGGTCTACTATTCTTCCCGATGTGTTAAGTTTTATTGTAGTTCAACTATTCAGCTATTGCATCTGTCTTAAGTCTCTTGGACTTACATTCTGAAAATATATCACAAATACCGGTATATCTTTAGTCAAGTTGTCAGATCAGAGTGGTTTATGGTGAAATTCTGATAACAAGCTTCCAAAGTGTCATTGAATTTCTGAAATAGACCTGTGGGTGCAAATGATCATGGGTTGCATGATCATCATCATCATTCTAGCCATTGCCTATCCACTGCAGGAAGACCTCTTCTGCATGTTTCTAACCGGTACGGTCCTTTTGCCAATTGGGCCCGTAATACTTGCTGATGTCATTGATCCATCTTATTTTAGGTCTCTTTCATGGACATTTTTTATTAAGTGAGATCTATTCTATGACTGCCTTGGTCCACCTGCCATTGGTGCTTCTTGCTATGTGACCAGCCTGTTTCTATTTCAATTCTTTTATTCTCTTGATGATATTGCATATTTTGGTTTGTTTTCTAATCCATGCACCAGTGTTTCTATCTTGGCTTGTAATGCCGAGCATGTATCTTTCCATAGCTCTTCGCTTAGCTTTTGTATTGATTGTGAGGTTAGTGTTCATGTTTCACTGGCATTTGATAGAGTAGGTAGCCCACCCTGAATGAAAACTTCCTGAATGCATGATCATCACAATTGTGTTATATTACAAAGCATGTATAGGAAGGATTATACAGAGCTTTGCTATGTTTATTTTAAAATCAGTTCCATGAATGAACTTTCATAAAACAGCCTGGTCTAGATAAATAAACTATGTTTTATTTGATTTCATTTGTAAGAGCCCTTTACATTTCTTCTTCCTGTTATACCACCTTTTAAAAGTGGCCCTCAACCATTATGAATGACTTTTTAGTTTGAATTGTGCTGATTTGTGGAGTGAAGATGTTTGAGATGTTAGGATACTTCTATTTGAGAATATAATATAATATATATATTTGTTTTCTGAGGTTCTTGCGGGTATTTGTATGTGGATCTTTGGTTGTTCGGGTTTTCTCCCGCGTAAGATTCGAAGTATCTAGGCAACGTTT